CTCAGGGGCAGTGTCCACTCGCGAGAGATACTCTCGAGAGCAATAATGTCCACTCGCGAGAGATACTCTCGAGAGCAATCGCTCTCTCTCGCGATAGTTTTACTTTCTAAATGGCACGTAGTTTCATGTATAGTTCCATGTACATAATACAGACAACGACTCTGGCTCGAGTTTCTTCTGTTTCCCTAGAAAAAACATCGCGAGCCTCGCGCAATGTTTTGGTACGTGAAGTTGACTAGGCTCAAGCATACGTACTTGAGGGTTACTCACACGCCTAGGATTTTTCTCAGAATGCTGCGTGCCCGGGAGCAGAAATCGGGCAAACCGTCACGTACGCAGTTGCTGTCTAGAGACCCACCGAACGAGTGAGTCGACGAACGACGTTTGTACCGTGCGATCATAGTGTGCAGAAAATTCAGTGCTCCCCCGAATAAAGCGGTTTCGATTGTGCGTGGATTTCGAATAAATTTACGTACTTAGCATATTCGTTCGTGTGAATTAAGTGCCGCTGCATTCAAGAAGCTAGTGCACCGAATTCAAGTACGCAACGAACGGATCAGCTTGGGAGAAAGATCAAACCAGAAGCGTGTCTCATTTCTCAATCAATCTTTTTTTCCTGACATTTTTTACACGTACGAAAGTTCCCTCAAGAATACGATCTGCATTGTGTTTCCAGAGCAACTGTCCGACAGCACTACGGTTACGTATCCATACGAGAGCAAGTCTCGACACGTTTACTCTCAGACAGTTGAGCTATGCTCTCCGACAGTCAAGCTCAGGGGCAGTGTCCACTCGCGAGAGATACTCTCGAGAGCAACTCGCGATAGTTTTACTTTCAAAATGGCACGTAGCTTCGTGTTTAGTTCGATGTAATAACGACAACGACTCTGACTCGAATTTCTTATGTTTTGCTCGAGTTTCTTATGTTTCACTAGCAAAAAGAAGTGTCTAGGGCCCAGTATAAAGGGTGAATAAGTTCGCGGGACATCGGAGGGTCCTTATATACCTGCGGTACCCTCTCCCCAAAGTCATTAGCAAAATCGTCCGTTAGGTCAGGCGGGAAATTTTCGCGGGAGATTTTCGCGGGAGATTTCCGATATCGTAACACGGTATAATTTATCAATTTTCACAATTTTGTTATAAATTTATACTTCCGACAATTTGTTATAACATTGCATATAACAATTTATACGTTTTTACAATATTCTTCAATGGAAACATAGGTTTTAGCGTTCTCGTTACTTACTCGTGGTTAAATTAATTTCGTAGGGATTAAAAATCAGGTTGACCTGTGGTCGTAGATTAAAAATAACCATAGTACAGCTAAATTTATCGTGTTAAATAATTCTTTTTACACGAATGAAAAATGTATTCAATGTTTGTTTGTTATAATATCGTGAAATGAATTATATTACACATTTTCTCTATTCACACTGAATTTAAAGATTATAACGATTAAAAATCAAGTTGACCTGTGGTCATTTATCAAGAATAATCATAATAAAGCTGAAATTATTGTGTTAAATAATTTTTTTAATACGAATTAGGAATTTATTCAACGTTTGCTTGTTACTACTTGTTACAGTATACTGTCTCGCAATGTAAATTTAAGTAAATTAGGTTGAACTGCACAGAAAATGCACAGAACTGCACAAATAATTCATTTCACGATATTATAACAAACAAACGTTGAATACATTTTCGATTCGTGTAAAGAGAATTATTTATCACGATAAATTTAGCTGTACTATGGTTATTTTTAATGTACGACCACAGGTCAACCTGATTTTTAATCCCTACGAAATTAATTTAACCACGAGTAAGTAACGAGAACGCTAAAACCTATGTTTCCATTGAAGAATTTAATAGAATTAATAATAAAAATAAGAGAATTAAAGAATTTATAACAAAATTGTGAAAATTGATAAATTATACCGTGTTACGATAACGGAAATCTCCCGCGATAATCTCCCGCGAAAATTTCCCGCCTGACCTAACCGACGATTTTGCTAATGACTTTGGGGAGAGGGTACCGCAGGTATATAAGGAACCGCCGATGTCCTGTGAATTTATTCACCCTTTATACTGGGCCATAGACACTTCGCGGTATATTTTGACCTGGAGGTTCTGAGATGTGAATAGAGTGGTCGGGGGCTACCAGCTAGCCTATGTCCACACTGTACACACTCAGCCTTCTTGTAACACTTGTATACATTAGAATCAATTAGAATTTCAATACAATAGACTGAATAACAATTCATTTTAACTAATACCTATTAGAAATTTTCCTTTTAAAACAAATAGAAGTCATTTTACCAATTACTGGTACTTGCTGCTAGACATTTAATATCAGACTTTAAATATTCTCCTTTCGGTTCTTTTAAATACAATCAAATAATTTCTTCAATAATCGATACTGACTTGGAATACTCCGCTTCGAATAAAATATTTCGAAATTATTTTGAAGGTTTAGGGAAATAAACATTTGAATTTTAGTCATCGTTGTTCTTCAGACTTGTCGAATAGGATATTGAAATGACTTTGAGAGGTTGCCTTTTCGTTACTTTTCTTCCAGCAATTGAAATTAATTTGAAATTTTTCATATATTTTCTCTGATATTGAATTTATTTTATGACTTGCTATTTTGTTTACTAATAATTTACCATCCAACGAATTTGCATGATTTGCATGTTAAGTAGTTAGTTGTATTATTGTATTTTATATTGTGAGTTGATTTGAACGAGTGCACTATGCCCACCCTAAATTAAACCGTCTCAGTAGTTTACCGTAATTAATAATCTATTTTCGGAATTTATACGAGAATTTTTGAATTTTAGTAAATACTAGAGTCAGTGCATCGCGTATTGAAATAATAGCTTCATCCCTAGTTCGTTTATTATTGAATATTTTTACGCGTTTAACTTATGCTTCTCCCCAATTCTCGTCGCGTATTTTATTCAAATTTTCTTATATTCTAGAATCGAAAAAGATACGAATTCGCGATTTTTCTTTTGATTCTTTCAATTTTTCAATTGCATTACGCATTATTGCAATAATTTCTATCGTTACATTTAATTCTAATTGTTTAGCAGCTTTTCTGCTGCTATCGACCCTACATTTTACTGACACTTGTCGAACCGACCCTACATTTTACTGACACTTGTCGAACCGACCCTACATTTTACTGACACTTGTCGAATCGACCCTACATTTTGCTGACACTTGTGGAATTGACCCTACATTTTTTCTTTTTTTTCGTGGAGGTAGGCCGGTAGGCCGCCTCTATGTGATAAACAATTGGCAACTAAACGGTGGCTCGGTAAAGCGATATATTATGAAATTAAATTAATCACTCAATAAGTTTTAACGTTAGATTGTTTCCTCGATATGGCCATGGTGGTCATCAGTGACTGGAGAGCCTCAAATGTTTAGAATAATTAAAATAAAATAAATGTTGTCAACTAAAAATTTTGAACGTCATAGCTAGCTAGACATTATTTGCAATTGAAAAAAAAAATTATAAAGCATAATACTATAATCCAATGCTTAAAATGTATTTTCTTGTGGCTGCCTGACAGGAACCTGACAGTGTTAATAAGTAAATGTTGTTGAAATTATATCGTGTTCGATATCATTTTCATCAGGAAAATCTCACCAACATGTTAAAAAAAATTCTAGATGAAAAAAAGTAAAATTAAAGAAATTATATTTTTCTATTATGATTTGTGGAGCCGTTAAATCTCGTAAAGGAAACCGACTGGTGTAGCGTTACAGGCTTGACTGACTGCGAGCGAGATAACATGGGCACAGCAATGTCGCAGCCTAGGCGTAGGACCATCTATACTGTCACTTATAGAATCCAAACTTACTGACTCTTGTAGAGAATTTACTGTATTTAACACTAGGCTTACGGACATTTCTTATATACCTATCTCTACGGACACGCGTCAAATTGACGAGTGAACGAAACCGCATATTTTCTATAAAAAACAACTTATTATACACTATTAACTTATAAATAAAACTATGTGATATTATATACTTATTTAAAATTTATAACAAACATAAATGGTAGGAGAGAAATGTAAACGGTTTCCGTAATTTTCCCTGTGAAATTCGAAATGCGTAAAAATGGCGCGTCCCGTAAACCTAGTGTTAATGAAATCAAATTCCAGACTGAATAATTTTTTTCAGGATTTTAATATTCGTAATGACCGTTTACGTTATTCTTTACATTCGACGAATGTTTTAGTACTTACAAACAGAAGTGTAACTCCAGTTGCATCTACACAGTACACACATCATTTTGGGTTCTTTGAACCTGCTAGCCATCGCTGTACCACTACTCATCGAAAGAATGACACAAACGATACACGAATGTGTTTAAAAAAAAAGAAAGTAGACTGACTATTGACAGGGAATGACTGTACAAATAACGGAGGCAGATATTGAATCTAGCATATATATATATATATTGTTCACACAGAGGACAGGAAACGAGAGGAACGAGATTGTACGACGAAAAGGACGGGTTTTGAAATTCACGACCTCCCATCTGCCTTCTTTGCTCTCGTTTCGCGCCTTCTATCCTCCCATTATCCGCGATTATAATGATCCCGCCAGTGAACAGCCATTCTTCCGGCGAATTCCAATCTGAACAAGAGCCAACGACGAGCCATTCTTCCTCGCAAAATTCATTATTTTCCACTGGCCAGACGCCGGGACGTCGTGACCAATCTCCTCGTATTATAAAAGGGGATTTTCGGGCAGAATGCCCTGTACCGTTTCAAATAGAATTTTAATTCAGGAAAATAGAAAGTTCAGGGTTACGTTTTTTGTCTCGTGGAAACCACGCAACGTGTATTCTATTGGGATAAACACTGGAACGTAGAGGATTGACGATGTTCTCTTGGACGTTTCTCACGCACTTCTAACAAATTGTTGTCTATTTTCTTTGTTTTTTTTTTTTTTTCGTTCAGAAGAGTGGATGAGCTTCTTACCTTGATCGTATCGCGAAGTATGGCGATCTCTCGCGTCAGATGCTCGTTCTCGTTGTACAAAACCTCCATTTGCTGCTGCAACTCGACGCTCGGTCCGCGCATCCGCATTCTCAGCTCCTCTTCCAGTTGGCGAACCATCATGCTTTGTTTCTGTAACAGAAAGTGGAGGAAATTTCGTTAATATATAACAGATACTGCCCTGAGTAGTCGTTTAATTATTTTAATAAAAAATATCGAAGTTTATATGGTTATTCTATTTTGTAGGAAGTTCGCTTTAGTCGTTCGAAATTGGAAACACAACGGGGAAATTCTTTGTTGTGCTCGTTATTCTGCTGCGGTTTATTCAGACTGTTGGGTAAAGTTTCGTTTGAACGTACACCGAAGCATAATTGCACATTCGAGCCACGTGAAACTACTTCAGGCATGAAACTGATAAAGCGGTTCGATAAAAAGCCTACATTAAGGAAAATTTCCAGGTTTTCGAGAGAAACGTATTTCTTTCACTGTGTTTCCTGTTAGTTAAAACGAAAAGTTGCAATACGGTGAAATTGAGAAACAACATGTTCGTTATTTACCTACATCTGTTTCAAGTTTATTCAGTGTACAAGCCGTCGAAGGACATTTTATGAAGTCCGTGAAACATTTCACTAAAGATGTTTTATTTATGGGGTACATTATACAGAGGCGTTCAAAAATAGGCAAAGTTTGGGAATTTTTTTTCATAGGTAACTGCTAAGCGAAAAGTTTGAATTTTTCCGAAGATATGAACGTAACTTTCAGCTTCGTTCTCCAATTTTAAAAAAGTAATAATGTTACAAAATGGAGGAGATACTGAGAAATGTCTTATGCTGGGGCAATCCTCCACTAGCAAGAATTGAAATGACTGAAATATCAAATTCTTTCTGATTAATAAATAAAAATGAATCGAAATTCTTTCGATATCTCAATTATTTAATTTTTCAGAAAAGTTTAAAGTTGATTTTGTTCGGTAAGAAGAAGTTTGTCCTATTCAAACCGCCATCATTTCTGTAACAATTAAAATTTTTGAAAAATCCTTAGCTACATTGTAGATAATACATTTTTATTTATGAATCAACAAGAATTTTTTATCTCAGACGTTTCAATCCTTAAATTAATGTTCTAGCAGGAGAAGTTTCGCAATTAGCAAATAACTCCTCCATTATGTAACATTTTCACATTTTCAAAATTGGAATAAAGAGCTGAAAGTGACGTATACGTCCTCTGAAAAAGTTGCAACGTTTCATTTAATAGTTACCTACGGAAAAAGTTCCCAAACTTTACCTATTTTTAGACGCCTCAGATTGGTGCATCCCTAGTGCGCTCTTCGGGTCTTTTCTGACCCATTGTCTTCTTATTTTTGTAGTAACTTTTGCTGTTATTAAGTTTATATTCCCTTAACGTCATGGCGTGCTGATAACAAAAATTGTTACACATAAGGTCTGGGTCAAAAAAGACCCAAAGACCTTAAATGTATATTCGAATAGAAGAACGCCCTACTGTTAACCCCTTGACGTATGATTTCTTTTCCTGACTGTGTATCTAAGCGTCAGCTATTTCCTGTTTTAGTGCTGTATTAAGTAAGAAAAGCTAATGAATTATAAATTAATTAAATTTGGCAATCTTCAGTTCTGTAAATTAAATCGAAAATTGGAATTAAAATGAATATTTCTTATTGATATAACTGTTTCGATCAGATCTTGACCAAAATCTATGACACGAGTCTGACTCGTGATTACCTATACGGCAAGGTGTTAAACAGGAAACTGAAATACAATAACTGAAAAGGGAATAATGTTCCCTATTCATCGACAGTTTATTCCAGTCAACAAGCATCGAAAATGAAAACATTTCATTCACCGAATCTCGCACTCAACCGTCGCTACGACTCGGCGAACGTTCCAAGGGCTCGATGGAATCATGCTCGGCGACGTGGTTGACATAAATTCGCTCTGTTTGCTCGAAAGAATAGAGAGGCCAGGCGAAATAAGATTGCTTGCAACAAGGAGTAGACGAAACGAGGGGAATCGACCGATTACAGGTTGAAAGGGGGTGTCTGGGAAAGAGCTTTTTTCCAGAGCGTGAAAAAGGCCTCGGAGTCGGGCAAAGTCAATATTTCTAGCGGAAGTTCGAACCTCGCGCGCGTTCCCTTTGGACTCGCGACTTGAGAAAGCTTTCTCTACCCTCCTTCGCCTCCTTTACGCTTCTTCCGGCGTGTTTCCTCCCCTATTTCCTGTTTCCTCCTTCTCTTCTTTCCTGAATCGTCTGGTAGAGCCTCTTTGACCCTTTCTCCATGGTGTCCTTTATGCATCTCTCTCTTTGAGCTTTACCCATTTCCACCGGTCCCTTCCTCTTTTCACCGTCAAATTCTTCTTCGAACTTTTCCTTTTACTATTTTCGGCAAAGGAGCCGTTGAACATTTTTTTCTTTCTTTCTCTCGGTAATTTCCGCTTTCTCTTTCCTTTCATAAAAGCATTTTTCAGTTTCACACGCTTTCCTTTTTTTCCTTCAATCTTCTTCACATTGACTTCCCGTCACCTTTCTAGATTTTACTATTTTCTTCTGGCTTCGAGTTTCCTACGCCTTCAGTGGCTCACTCCTACTCTAGCCGTCCCTCTACCACTTCTTGAATCCGGCACTCAACTACGCTTTCGAGGAATATTGTTCCAGGGCCTTCGTCTAGCTCGTTAGGCATCGTTAATGACGACAACGCGACGCCAGTCGGACAAAGGAAACACGCTGACGAAAAAAACGCTCCCGTAGACCGGATGATTACGAGCAGCGTGTTTCGGCGCGCACTTCGCTCGCGAACAACGGGGCCCCGTTTTTGTCCGGTTGAAATCTTTTTGCAGTCCCCCTTCTCATCGAGCTTCTAAGCAACTTCGTGTACATTTAAGTGAGGGAACAAGAAATCTACGCCCTTTTCTGCATTTATTTTATTGAAAAGTGTCCGTTGTGAGTAACCCTTCGAGTGCGACACCATGTTGCAGAACAATCGAACTTTCTTTTTCATCGAGGAAAGATATTAACACGTTCAGGACGGCAGAGAAATTCACGAGAAGTTTGTTATTACCGGATGATTCGATTTTACGGAAGTGTTTATTATCATTAACCTTCGAATGGCGGGAACTCTTAGACGTCTCCTGTTTCAACCGGCATTCAAAACAGAGTCAAGACTCTCCTCTTCTTATATTATAAATATCAAGATATTCTTTCGTTTCATTTAGTTCCAATATAAATATTATTGAGTAAATATGCGGGTAAAGCTACTGCTAGCATACCGCACTCCTGAGTTCACAAACTTATGTACAGTGACTTTTACTAATATTCGGACACTCTTTAGAACAGTATAACTTTTTCTAAATTGGATCAAACGACTTGAGTTTTTTTAGAAGTTAGAAGGATTAGTGTACTAGATGACGTGTGTACAATTTTTTGAAAATATTGCAATTTGTGGGAATCACGAAGAAAATTGTAAGGGTCACTGTTTACAACTTTTTTACCCGAGTTTGTAACGAAAATTTAAAACATACGTTTTGTAGATTTATGTCAATTAAACACATGCTGAAAATTTCATCGAAATCGGTAGATGGAGAAACAAGCGACCGGCATCGAAAGATGTAGGAATCTTCAGATTTATTACAATTATAGGCCGAACGTCGTAAAATAGTGCGATTTTCACAATCTTTAACAATTTGTAGCTCATAGTAAGGTTAACCGATTTCGATAAAATTTTCAGCATGCATATAATTGGCATAAATCTACAAAACGTATTTTCTAAATTTTCATTACGGGCTCGGATACAAAAGTTGTCGAATGTGACCTTTACAATTTTCTTTGCGATTACCACAAATTGCAATATTTTCAAAAAATTTTATACGCGTCATCTAGTATACTAATCCTTCTAACTTCTAAAAAAAACTCAAGTCGTTAAGTCCAATTTTAAAAAAGTTATACTGTTCTAAAGGGTGTCCGAATATTAGTAAGAGTCACCGTATATTATAAATATCACCATTATTTTGATCGTAATATATTTGTATAATATTTTAAAAAATACAATGCCTGGTAAAATAAAGAAAATTATGACTTCGCTGTGTACGAAAAAGATTTAAGTATTGGGTCATATTTGACCCGGCATTCATGACATGCGCTGTCCCAGTGATAATACTCAACTTTTCAGTTTCTAATCTTTTCATCTGTTAGATATACCTGATTTCTCCTAGAATATTACAAAATATTGATCGTCATACATATAATCTTTTTTCTCATCTATACTAAAATGTCTCATCCATGGGTCACGTTGGAAAATGAGAACATCACTCGGTGACCCACTGGTGGGTCACGTTGTCTATTCAGTCTCTGTTCTTATTTGTTGGATTATTAGGAGAAATGAGTGCGCGTGTATAGTGGTAACAGCAAAAATGATCAACATACTGAGACAGGTTAATATAAACATATACAGAAGAATAACATATTAACCATCTGTTTAGTATGGGTGGACGCTGATATGCTTCTTTTTTCTTTCGCGTCTTATCGGTCTCTTACGATTGCGTAGAGACGTGCCTTCCTCGCGTATAAAAGAAATAAACAAGAGTTTATAATTGAAATACCACCTTTTAATTTATCCCCTAAATCCAATATTATTCATGCTGGAATGACCTATCGGTGTGTTACGTCTGCAAATAAAAGCGTCACCACTCGATGACCCATCGTGGGTCACGCTGTCCTAAACGTGTTAAGTAGAGCTTCTTGAATCATGTACTGCTTTCGCTGTTATTAAATTGTTAAAAATAGAAAAATTCGATGAAGCTGAAAGAAGTCGCGTACAATGTCTGTGATGCCCGGTTTGCTCCAATTCCTCGAAACTCGGAGCAGATATTGGGGTAACATTGAATTAAAACACTCGAGGATCGTCGTTGCGTAGAAACAGAACTTTATTTGACAGAGGTTTAACGTTACGTGACGTGCGCGTGGTAAAACAGAGAATGAATGCGGTAATGGAGAAAATAGGGCTATTTAAGGGTTTAGGGAAGATGAACTTTCTAGGAAAGTTGGAAGGTGAAGAGTCCAGTATGAGTAATGGTGAAAGAGGATGACTCGTTGTAAATACAGATAAAACTAAGACTAAGAAG